TCTCTCTTGAATCTCCTGACGATTTTTACATGTGTCTCAGTGTCTCTCTACTTAACTCAGTCAGCTATCTTTTCTTTCTCTACCGTTCCCCTTCCTCTCATGAATTTTGTGTGTTAGATAGTATCTCAGATAATATAGCTAAGGCCAGCTCTCTACTCAGTTTGCAAGTATCTTTGTGTTCAGTTACTTCACTGCTCACTTTGCAGATGGCTTAATCACTCTTTCCCTGACCTCGCTGGCATTCAAACTATGAATATCTCAATCATTCAGTCTCTAAAACAAGTGGTAGACTTATCCACGCGTTTCCCAAGTAATACCGATAGACACGTTTCTCTTCCTGATCTCTCCTTTACTCCTACACTTGACTCATGTCTTACTCTGCAGCTCTGTCCTCTTGGCAACTCCGATTATACCTTATTATCTGTAAACACCTCTTTCCACTCCTCCATCTGCCAAGAAACTCCTACTAACAGAACATATTTCTGTTATCAACTCGTTGATTAGGACACATCCTGTGACTTCTTTCGTGACGTCTATTGGAATGAAGTTTTAATCATGTTCAAAAATATGCCTCTGGGTTCTCCTGAATAAAAGCCGAAATCGAAGCATTCATTCCAACGCGGAAACACCACGTGAAAGCACGATCGTCTCCTTGGTTTTCAACTGCATTCTCGGCCGCTATAGCCCGCAGCAATCACTTTTTCTCACTGTAACCACAGCGACTGGTCTGATTGCAACAGAAGTCTTTTTATCTTTGCTCGTAAAATGTGCAAGCGTGTCCTCAAAGAAGCGAAATTACTGTTTCTGATAGAATGAAACAACGTATACCCTCTCACAAATTTGGTTCTATAGATTATTGTCAGCTCTGCAAGAGTGTGCTGAACAACAGTAAATCCTCAATCCGTCTTCTCTTCAATCAGTCTGAAATCCTGATATCTACAGCAGATAAAGTTGACTGCTTTGCTTTTTAGTTCTCCTCCAATTACATATTTGACTCATCTGGTGGACCCAAACCTGATTTCCCACCAGAACAGAGGCTCTAATATGATATGCGCTTAATGATATGCTCTGAATGATATGTGCATAACTCAGTCAATGGTTTCAAAAATCATTTTTAATGTACTCTCCCACAAGTCTAGTAGATATGACGGCATCCCAGCCGTCGTTCTGAAGAAAAGTGCTCGCGAGCTGGTTTGATTACTCTCCAAAATCTACAATAGTTGCCTCACTGCTTTCTGCTTCCCATCTTGTTGGAAGTCCTTCTCTGTAGTTCCTGTTTCTAAGAATTCTGAAGAACAAACTGATTCCTCAAATTATCGCCCTGTTAGTCTCTTATCGCTTTTTGGAAAAATATTCGAGGCTCTAATCAATGCTGATTTAGTTAAGCGTCTTACTTCTCACGATCTCCTCTGGGGCAAACAATATGGCTTTCGTTTCGTCAGGTGTGCCGCTGACGTGTTAACGGCCATAACTGAATAACTGAATATTTATATCAAGTTCTGGATAAGAACGATGAAGCTCAAGCTGTAGAGATATCTCAAAGGCGTTCGACAGGGTTCAATATGCCGGCCTTCTACGCAAGCTCCAGGGTTACGGTGTCATAGCACGAATGTTTGATTTAATCCAGGTCGAATGAATCGTTGTTCAAATGAAACGGTTTCGCTTCCAGATCCTTTCTCACGAACGCGAGTGTCCCTAAATGATCTCTCCTGGGTCCTATTCTATTTCTTATATTCATCAAGGATCTTCTTGATGTCATCAGTTCCCAAGTATTTATGTAGATGACATTACCATTTTCTGTTGTCCCAATAGCAAATCCGACAGATCTGATAAAGTATGCCTGGCAGCTACTCTTGAAAAGGACCCCCAATCACAGAGATCCTTCCCTGCCCTCCATTAGAATTTCTGACACTTAACTTCTCGAGAGCACCTCTCTGCGGCATCCTTTCCTCTATCACTCCTATCTGATCTTGCTCCAAATCTTCTGTAACTCCTTGCGTTCTAGTGGCTTCTCGACTTGCTTGGGGTGAAACGCTTAAAAAAAAAAGAAAAAAGAAATCAGTGGTTGACTGGGGAAATAAATACCTTGAAAATTTGAACGCCTCCAAAGCAAAACTGATTTAATTTAACCGCCATAGACAACCTTTTCTGTCTCCCATCAGCATGACTCCAGTAATGAAATACACTGCGCTTTTTTGGCCATACGTTTTAAACTGACTTTAAGTGAAGCGACTACAGAGAATCAATAGCTGCATCTACTGCAAGGAAAGTTGCATCACTTTGTCCTACCAGAATTCTTTTCTCGTCTTAAACCATCTTGCACATTTACAAACCTACCATTTGTCCGTGCATTGAATACTGTTACCATATTTGTCTGATGCTCCTGCAGTATATCTCGTCTTTCTTGACAAAATCCAAAGAAGGGTCTGCAATGTAATCGATCCTCGTGCCTCGGATACATGAATTTATTCTTGCTACTAGATTGGCATCTAGGTCCCACTAGTTTACTGTTGAAATCGCTAAATGCATCCGCCACTTCTATCCAAAAAGTTTCTTTTCTCGCACTTTCGTTTACTTACTTCCCTGATAACTAATCTTCAAAAATTTAAATACACCATCAATCGCCATCTTCTGTGTTCTTGAATCCCGTTCATCTTTTGTCCTTTCCTTAATCCTAAATTCTCAGTCCTCCCTTTCGCATTCCTCCTTGTAACCCGCTGAAGGCTAGTGGCATCTCCATCTTGCTTGCGCTGAAATGATTATATATATATATATATATATATATATATATATATATATATATATATATATATATGCGTTGGAGATGCTAAATCTTAACTTTCCATTCCTGACAGTTTTCAAAAGTGTTCACGAGGATCGGCTGAAAAGTTCATAGGCTAACCTAGATACTCTCATGGAATGTGACCAAATGACGTTTATTTTTCAACACAGTCTCCATTGCTTCTTTTAGCGATGTTGCTTAGATGTGGCACAAATTCGAAAGTATGGAGCACCCAGAGAGGCTCAACCCAACCTCATTACTTAGTCGTAATTGTTCTAGCGAAGCAAGCCTGTTAACCATTATACTACGTTGTGGTCCCCAAAATAATTTTCTAAGTGTAGCTTAGATGTGGCACAAGGCCGAATGTATGGTACACAGAGAAGATCGAACTCACTTTTCAGTCATAACTGATCTAGCGAGACAAACTTTCTAACCGTCAGCCCAAGTTGAAATCTCCATCACTGCGATACTGGTAACCAGCCAATATGTTGTTTTCCTGTTGTGGAACAGATGGTAGTCAGATGGGGCCATATCAGGAGAATAAGAAGGTCGATCAACCAATTCAAAGCAACGATCACGCAGAGCAGCCATTGAAACTAAGGACTTGTGTGCTGGAGCATTGTCCTGATGAAACAAGGCCCCTTTCGCCAGTTTCCCTGGGCGTTTCGTATTGAAAGACCCCTTTCGTATCTGCCACAGTAAATCGGCGTAGTACTCTTCCCCTTCTCTTCTTGATAAAGCTGAAGCATCATCCATTAATGTAGCAACCATGTGAACATTAAGATCTTTGGTGGAGGATAAAGTCTTTTTCTGTTTTTGATAAAACCGCGATGTCCATTTTCAAGAGAATTCGCTACTAGTTTTCCTTGAAGTTTCTTTGAACGGTCAGGTGTCAGTTTACTTTCAATGAAACAATGCAGAATGGAAATGAATGCTTGCAAGATTCCTTTGGTCTAGCATCACTTCTACATAGTCAGCCTATGAACTTTTGAGACCATCCTCGTACGTGGTCTTCTGCCTTTCAATGCTTTATCGCTATTTCTTTGGCAAATGTTCTAACGAGCTACATTTCTTCACTCCAGTCCAGACCTTTGCAGATAATACCAGGCATGCTATGTATACAAGGATGATTCATTATCATTTCTTTCATATTTCATTGATAAGAAAGAAGTTCTATTCAGACACATCCTTCCTTAAATAATTAAAAATGTCACCCCCCCTCCAAAAAAAAAACGCTACTTTGTGGAGCTGACTTCCGAGAGGATGATTCTCTGATAACTACATTCTTAACATCTTTAAGTCTCTGATTAACTGTTGTCTACTTTCAACATACTAATTCGGTAATCCTCTTCCTTGAGTAACTCTTGGGCCTTGTATAGGAAAATTTGATTTCTCAATTTCCAAACACAGAGCACACATCATATCATATCATATCATATCACATCTATCTATCTATCTATCTATCTATCTATCTATCTATCTATCTATCTATCTATCTATCTTATACACACACACACACACACACATATATATATATATATATATATTATTTATTCGAAAATTATAACATAAACATGTTATAAGATCACTACAAAAATAGCCATTTTGTTTCAACACTTCTGGTGTCTTATCAAGTGATGGTGTTGTATATATATATATATATATATATATATATATATACTCCTCTGCAGTACACGTTCTCAGAGTCTTAAATTTATCCACCCTTTGTTGGTGCATTTCTCCAAAAGTCAACCATCAGTTCCTCTATCTTGAAATCAATGTTTTTCTCCGAGCTCCATATAGCCAATCTTCCTATTTTAATCCTGTAGTCCGCCTCATCACTCCCCCATCCCGAAAATGAGCACACCCAATGTAGTGTTGTCCGCGAATTTAGTGATCCTGCTTATGGGATGTATCGGGACACAACCACTAGTGTACATAGTCTACAGAGGAGGGATTAATAGATATTCCTTTGAGGCACCAGTGACGAGGATGATCATTCATTAAAAATGGTCATTCGAAATCCTGATTTTATATGTTCTAAACAGATCAAACCATTCAAATAATTGACACATTATATAGTCCCATACATATGCTACCTCCGGAAATGAACACTGAGAGTCAGTATGGATTCACGCCTTTTACATCGCGCCGTTAAAGTGATAATTTTAAAGAAAAAGAAAAGAAGTGATATCTATTGAGCTATCTCAATCAGTTCATGTGTCTACCACAATATTCTCATTATCTATCTATCTATCTATCTATCTATCTATCCCAATCTGCTCACTATTTTTATCTATCTCTGTCAGTTCATTATCTATCTGTTAGTTTTTATTATATTATTAAATATGTTTCATTTTCTATTGATTAAAATTGATATTTCACTTATTTGTTATACAGTCTTTGTTTATTCTTTTGGTTTAGCTGTTGTTTTTACAGCGATTGTCATTTAAAAAGTGTCATCCAGTGCGCTTATTTTGTTACAAATATTGTACATGTCATTACGATTTATTATATTTTTATATTATCATCTCTCTACCTCCATATGCTCATTATCTATCTATCTATCTATCTATCTATCTATCTCATTCTGTTCATATCTATCTATCTATCTATCTATCTATCTATCTATCTATCTATCTCATTCTGTTCATATCTATCTATCTATCTATCTATCTATCTAGCTATCTATCACATTCTTTTCATATCTATCTCATTCTGTTCATATCTATCTATCTATCTATCTATCTCATTCTGTTCATATCTATCTATCTATCTATCTATCTATCACATTCTTTTCATATCTATCTCATTCTGTTCATATCTATCTATCTATCTCATTCTGTTCATATCTATCTATCTATCTATCTATCTATCTATCACATTCTTTTCATATTTATCTCATTCTGTTCATATCTATCTATCTATCTATCTATTTCATTCTGTTCATATCTATCTATCTATCTATCTATCTATCTAATAAGCCTCTGTATGTGTGCTGGTCAGATTAGTCACAATAAATTACCGATTTCACTTCCCTTGTATTTAGTGTACGTAGCAAGGTAGTTAAACGTCTCTTTAAAGTAAGAAAGCTTTTTACTGTATTGTATGCTTAATTTGGAAGAGTGACCCAATAACGATACGGTCTGCTTACGCTGATCCTAGCAGATGAGTTGCGTGTTTTCTTTCCTTGCCATCTCTTTACAATAAGTGAGACGATAAGCGACTTTTAACATGGTCACACATGGGATTATAGCAGTGATGTGCTCACCGAGGATTAAAATCAATGCATTATTAATAGTCTGAGAAATGATCGCCTTGACCATCTTCCCAAGACAATGTGCAGTTATTTAATCTGGCACTGTGCCACTTCTGTACTCAGCGTAGCGAAGATATAACTCGTTTAATTCCTTACTAACATGATAGAAAATGTTTACAACTATCGAACGTCAAAAGTCACACACGAGAACGTAGATAAATTATCTTGAAAAAAGTTGTGTACATATTAGCATATTGTAGATGCGTCAAACTACTTTTTTTGTACAGGACTGAACAAGTTTTGTAAATTCTGTTCAGGTTGATCGTGGTTTTTCATAACCGCGCACACAGAAAAACACACACACATATAAATAGATATATAGTAAAAATAGCGAAAAGATTAAAAAAAAAAACTCATCTTAGGACAGACTTCACGTTTGTTTAGGATTGGGTTTCTGGTTTCTTCAAACCAATACTTTTAATTTTTCCCCCGAAACTCTGCAAATTTATTTACTATTTATTTACTATTTATTTACTTTTTCTTCTCTCAATAGAAATAGATAGGTTCGTGTATCGTCCAGTTTGCAATACTTTCCAGTCTTTGAACAAGAGTAGATGTTTATCCCTTGTTTCCTGTTCAGGGTTGGATTTCCGGTTCCTTCTAAAAGCTTACCATTCTCTTTCACTTTCGGTAGCCACTTTATGTCTTGATGGCATTATTTCATTGGTTAGATTTGTGTCTCGTACACTGTAATCCTTTGACTTGAGTGGCTCTTGAGCCTTGTACAGAGTGAATATCCTTGGAAAAATATATATGTATATATAAAAACGCATGGAGTCGGTCTTTTTACCAAAGAGCAAGAGCCACTGGATCTTGAGGGTTACTGAATGAGGTTTGAGATCTGAATGTAAGTGGAGTTAAAGTGAAGATAATGAGAATGAGAAGGATATACAAAGACTGACCGTTGTCTTAAAGAGGTTATAGTTGCCACGTTCTGGGAAGGATCATTTTCGTTTATTTTTGTGTTTATCTAATTGTTTTTGGATAATTCCGATGTTCCTTCTTTTGATGGAACCAATGGTCATATTCTATGGAACCTAAATAATGAAATCAGATCAATATGTCGACCAGCAAGAACGTTCATTGATCAACAAACAGCTGACACCAAAACTATAAAGAAACTAGGTAGATGGAAGAGGAAAATATTTGGAAAGGGCTGCTCATTTGAGGACAAATATACACATATATAGATACACACACACACACACACACACACACATATATATATATATATATAATTATAATTATATATATATATAATTATAATTATTTTTTTTTAAATATGATTCCATCGCGACACAGAAATTTTCATATTTCAAAACAGAAACTAAATTTGTAAATTTAATTATAAAAATTAAACTTAAAATCTGGAGTTTCGTTCCATTGTCAAGCGATGTTAGGAATAACTTTCTAAGAAATTTACTTAATTTATAAGCGCAGACAATCTTAATATTTTGAGTTGTTAAGGTTAAGGAAAATTCAATCTATTTTGATTATGGATGGTTGGGTTTTAATTTCCCTAGACACCTTACGTATCAAATGTATGTTTCTTACAAAGTCAGGTTAAGATTAGGTGGGGTTGTGGTGCCTGCTCACAAACACAGACATCTATTATTCAGTGTGACATCTGGATTTTCAATGACAAAAAAATTGGCATTTTTATTTATCCGGTTAATTCATATTTTTATACACAAAGATTCATATATACAAAGATTCATAAAGGGTCATTTAAATATGAGTAAGTCAGATTTTTAATAATTAAATATTATTCCTACAGATTTAAAGTACAATTCCTCCTTCTAATGACTAATAGACTGTACGGTATTTTTAAAAATAAATATATTTGAATTTATCAAATATAAAAATGTATGTTTCATCTCCCTTTTCTATTTTTTTATTTTTTCTATGTTTTCGCCAAAATTAATTATCATTTCAGGAAAATATTTGACAGTGCCTACAAAAATATTTATTTCCTTTCTTTGATTTAGTAAATTTTTATTTTTCAGAAACTTAATAATGTATAATTTTTCATGTATACACAAAGGACGTGGGTCATTTAATGACCTACAAGTTCTAGCTATTCTTATTAATTTCCATTTTACCGTTGGTGTTTTGTTTTATCCTTGTCCACTTATATTTGTGCGTAATAGTCTGCCTGAAGAGTTGGGATTGAATAATAAATATCATGATGGCATTTTAAATGTTCGTTTTTACTATTATAATATATATATATATATATATATATATATATATATATATATATAGCGAGTGCAAATGTGAGGATATAGGACGTATGCAAAATTAAAATTTTTAAATGTAGTATAGTCAGTGTTTTTGATTCATCCGGCTAAATATATTCAACTCTCACTGATTCTGTTGCTAGGCCGACCATGAATGTTTCAAATATGTCCGTTTCAGTAAAGTGACTATCTGGTCGGCCATCGACGCTAGAAATTCATGTGAAATCAGTGAAGTCTTCGTATTCCAGATCATTTAAATTTAGTTTTTGAAGCTGGGTATATTTTTTTATACAAGACCCAAGAGCCACTCAAGGTAGAGAGTTAATGTGTGGTGTTGTATGAGTGTAAGAAAAGGCAACGTCATTAGGTTATCTAGGAAAAATAGTTAACCGTAGACATGAAGTGATCTACCGGGGGGTCTGTTCCAAAAAAAAAAAAGAAACAGTTCTTGCGAAGAAGCTGTCCGAGTGGAACATACTTCTTACTAATAAATTACGAAGGGAATAAGGATGATTCATCCTTGTGTACGTGGCATGGTGGGTTCAAATTGCAAAACTCTTTTTAACTTGATAAAGACAGGTAAGTGAGGCATGGTAACAAATCCCGACACGGTCTATGCACGGTAGCAATACTCCATTTTTATAAATTTGGTAGATGGTTTGAAACAGCTTCATTCTTACCGTCAGATTATTTTAAATAAAAGTCTACTGGAAAAAAGTTTCTATTACGCAAATAGCTTTATGTACATAGAAATATTACAAAACAGGAATTAGTTTTCATTGGATTTGACAACATATATACTTTTCTACATTAAGAAATGCCGGGTCAACCTTACACATCCAGTGGACAATATTAGTTATGAAAGATTTTTTTTTCTTTGTTTAAGACGAATTGCATTATTTCTTAACTCAGCAAGTGGAGCAGTGAATAATAAGTAGGTTATTTCTGCTGTCTAGAATCCAGAATATAAAGAAAAGAAAGATTGTGTTGTCTGGTGTGAATAAAGAAGCATGTGAACTTGCTTAAAAAGCACTTTTGAGATTTTCCAACTGGTTAATGAGAGAAAAACAAGAAGAAATTTGAACGCCTCTTACATGATTAATAGAAGCAGACATGTTAATCTTTACTTAATAAAATTCTCTGTCGACAAAAGAGGACAGCCTAGAGGCATACAAAAATAAGTTTCCTCTGGTTACATCATGTCCCTTTCTGTATGTTAAACGCTTGAAAGTGTGAACAGGTTTTATCATGCAGCACGAGAACGCGTACGATACAGGTTGTGAATTGCAGTATTTTAAGGAAAGACCAAGGAAGGGAGAAAGAGAGAGAAAAATGAAAAACGAGAGAGAGAGAGAGAGAGAGAGAAAGAAAGAGAGAAATGAAGAGAGAAATAAACAGAAGAGAGAGAGAGAGAGAAAATTTAAAGAGAGATATAAAGTGTGGGAAAGGAATGGAAAGCTAGCGAAAAAGAGAAAGTTTTATGATCCAAGTAAATAGTTAAAGAAATAACAAAACACTTGTTACAGATATATTATATATTAAACAGTAAGTACAATAGAAGAGTGTATTACACGACTAGTGAGTGTGTGTCGAATGACACAACGTTCAATCTATTCGACTGTTCCCCGAAGGCTTTCTCTCCTACTAATTTTATAGTAGGCGGAAGAGTGCAACATAGACTCTTTAGAGGGAGGACACCACAATAGAAAGAAAGAGATATAAACAAAGTGAACAAATAATATGTGGGGATATTTACATAAGATCAGTTTTTTATATGTAATGCCCAGTTCCTTCCGGTTGCAGGCGATTCCGATTCTACAGAGAACTTATTTTATTGCACATGAATTGCCTAACATTCTTGGTAAATATAATGGTGTTGTTTTTTGTTACTATCTCAACGGTTTTGAATTCAAAGTTTTTCCCCCACTTGGACTGGCACTCTGCTATTTATCCTTTAGCTGGTGGTAGGGAGAAAAGGATTTTTCCAAAGCGTGAAAGTGAATGCAACAGACTACCTCGGAATTTGAATTTGCTCCGATATACTTTGCCCGACCGCACAACTTAGATCATCATAGTGTCTGAAAAATATACGAACAAAAAATGAGGAAAAAATCAAAATAGTAAGAATAGTTATAAAGCAGACAATTGCTTAGAAATGATCAATGTGTTTAATTACTCATCAAGATTAACATAAGAATCGTGATGAAAATGACATAGCTAAGTATCGAAAGCTCATGAAGTATTCGAATAAAGTTCAAATATATATATATATATATATATATATATATATAATATATATATATATATATATATATATATATATATATATATATATATTGATATCACTGCACTGAGAAGTAACCATCAGTCGACTACATGAAACGAAACGAAAGCAAAATAAGACATTTTAACAGTGTTCCTGCTGCACTTGCAT